TACGAAGTAGCTAATATTTTATTAAGAGGGAGCTAGTTATAGCTAATAGGTACCAGAGTATATCAAAAGGAATAATAAATTAAGTCTAAAAATGGAAATTACATTCGATCAAGTTACTGACCGCCAAAATCAAGGATGATCTCCAGGGGAAAAAGTAAATGTCTCCAGCCAGTGCAGAAAAAATTCCACCTTGAGTTGAATTTAATGAGTCAATCCTATGCTAATAGAGATCAACTTAAGATTTATCCTAGTGCATCAAAAGTTCGAAGCCCAAATGCTCTTTTCCCCCAACTCACTCATGCACCGATTTGTCGTTGTATATTTAGCTAATCTGACACTTGATAAGTTTGTATTCCCACGAAACAAAATGATACACATTTCTGATAAAAAACAATACACGTGCCTTAGGTGATGTGCATCCTAGAATCTCGCCGGGAGATAAAGGAGATATCTGAGGAATAAAAGATTTGTGACCGATTTCACGCAATGAAGAATTCGCCACCTGAAGGCTCGTGACAAACTGTATAGTTGAAACGAGTGCAATTCTCAAGTCTTTTTCAAAATTAACTTTGACGCTTTCCACAAAATGGACCAAGTCGATGTCGATACTTACAAAAACATAACTTGACAAAAGAAGATAATACTAAAATCATACTCACAGAACGGAAGGAGATTCCAAAGGCACCAAACAACTGTGTCCGTAATGCACTAAGAGATCAGCCCCCAAAGCACGAGCAGTAAAGTCATCAATGCAGCACGCTCCGTACGCGACGTCGCCCATGATAATAATTTGGATAGAACTTCTTGGTTTAATATCATCATTTATTCTTTTATCCTCAATGAATTTGTATGTATGGTCTCCGAAGCGCTTAAATATCTCCCCCAAAACAGTTGCAAAAATCAACAAGCCTTCAGGCAGCTGCAGTGCAATTTTTCTCGCTTTAAGGCAGCGAATTCTCCATACGGTTTTGTGGATTTCAAAATTGTAATTTTTGGGTAAAAAAGAAGATATGGCTTCATTCAATAGTAGATCATTCAATACCTCGTCTGGCACCTTAAACGGGTTGTAACGCTTGGGAGGCATGCAATCGGAACTAAGTAGCCGCTTTGCTAAAAAATAAGTAAAATGAAACAAACTTGATTTTAAGAACAATTAATTATTGATATTATCTAATTTTTTTACCTTGTGATAATGACAAGGGCGTATTTTTTGAAGGTCTCACCTCCTCGTTGCTGCCCTCGCCTAATTGCTATCTTCTCATGGAAGATTTTAATGGTTTAGTTTAATTATTTCTATTTTTATTTAGGTATTTCAGAAGATTTTTTGTCTGGAAGGGTGGTAAGGAGCATTTTTGTTCCAGAGAAAGGTGACTATTCCGATGATGAATTGAACCTGCTTGATGACGCTGAATTTGAGGACGAGTCCCTGTGGGAAAGAATTTTTGGACTTACAGAAATGTTTCCGGAATCTTTTAGATCAAAAGTATCAGATGTCACGAAAACCTTTACGTCGTGTTCTTCGACATTGTATGCAGTATCTCGTCACATTGTCTGGTTTGGTGTTACCACATCTGTTGTATGTTTTCTGCCCTTGTCCATCGAACTCTTCTTGTGGCAGCAGAACGATAAGGAGGCTCTAACTCACCGCGCTATGCTTCTTGGTCCACAAGCTAGTGGCGGAGGCCTTGTTCCCGGATTTACTTCAGTCGCCCCTCAGCTAACCCCTGCCAAATAGTTTTTATACTTTACTTTTACCGTATTAGATTTTGTTCTACAGATTTTTTTTTGAATTCGGCATACTTCTAGACGTTTTATCCGTCAAACGTCTCTCCATACTTAATTTGTTCTTAAGCTATTTGGATCGCCCCTATAATTCGGTTTTCCTTTGATTTTGCTTTTATATGCTGCTCAACTACGACCAAATAATAGTATCTACTTATTGATCTAGCCTGATGTTCTTTACACTCGTCAATAAAGCTTGCACAGCCTCACCTAACTTTGGTGATTCCTCACCTGGTATCTTAAATCATGCTCCTTTCAAGACATTTTCTATTACTTCATAGTGAATTGAGCTTATTTTGATTGCATTTTTAGCCATTTGATTCCATCTTTCCGTAGGTGTTGTCCTTAAGCAATACTTTTGCCACAAATAGGTTAATTGAATCTTCAGCTATTGGCTATTTCTTGTTTTTAGATAAATTTGATATTGTTGATTAACTACTACTGTTTGTCGTGTTCTTGACGCTGGTTTGGATCTTGAGATCGGTCCAATTAGATTCAACATTTAACTAAATCTAATGGGCAATAACTGTGTCCATCCTATTTAATTTAAAGTGACGTGGGACTGGTAATTTAATTTTTCTACTATGCTATGGACATGCCTTATCTTTAGATTTGATTTTTATAGCCTTGCTTCCCAAAGGGTATTATCATTTGGAGTAGATTGTAGTTTCGACCTCGCCTAGACCTCGTCAGCACACCCAGCCTGACTCGAAACCGGGTAATGAGGCGTATATTTTCGATACGCTAATCAATACATCATACTGTAATGACTGGGTCGCAGGGCAAAAGTCACTTTCAAAGAGAGGCAGGCCTTTCCTATATCACCTGCTTAAATGGGATTCTCATTGAAGCGAAGTTGTATTTGCCATTGCAGGCAAGTATATTACTTGTTTTCGTTTTTAAGTATGGTTTCGAGAAAAATAGGAATTCACTTGTGTCCCGTGATTTAATAAATTTCGTGGTAACATGGTGGGGTGAATGACGTGCTCAGACTATATACTGAATTACCTTGGCTCAAGTCAGACTGGGGATGCTGGTGAGGTCATAACGGATGAAAATGCCCTTTGTGAGGCAATCCATGTTAAATCAAATTGAAATATGATGCCTACTCACGTCATTGTAGAAAA